TGGCTAGCATGCAACCATGAAGAATTAAAGCAATGATGTCCATTTAAAGACAAAGGTGCACCTGATTCAAGCCACAGTCTTTTCAACTACTTTGCTTTGTATCTGAAAGTTGGATAATGAATAAGGATGACAGAATTATTGATGCCTTTGAATTGTGCTGTTGGAGAAAAGTTCTGGATATCCCATGGACTGCCAAAAGAGCACATTATGTCTTGGAGAAGGTGCAGCCAGAGAGCTCCTTGGAGGCGAAGATGATAAAGCTTCATCACACCCTTTAAGCATCTTACTAGGAGAGACTATTCTTTGGAAAGAGACATCAAGCTTGGAAAGGTGGAGGGTCAACAAGAGAGGAAGATCCTCAACCAGATGGACTTGACAGTGACTGTAGCAATAGTTCAAGCGTGTCAGAGATTGTTAGGATGGCACAGGATAGGACAGATCTGCTATTCATAGGGTCAATATAGTCATACTCAACTTGGTGGCACCTAACAAGAATCCCTCCTGACAACATGCCAAAAGTATATGAGATGAAATGCCACTATCTTTGCCTCTAAAGAACACCGTGTAGGGGAGCTCTGGTGGCCTAGTGGCAAGAAGGTGCAACTACAATCCCAGAGGTGCACGGTTCGAATCCACCAGATGCTCTGCCGGGGAAGGAGGGGCAATCTCCTCCCGTATCAGTCAGATCTGATTTGATACACGCACACAAAAATAATAAAATTAAAAAAAAAAACAAAACAAAACAACACCATGGTTGCACTTCCTCCAAAACAGAATTGTTTGTTTTACTGGAAGTCCATGGGGTATTCAATACGCCACAGCAACACAATTTAACACGTTTCTGCATACTTTTACATTGACGACCATGCTTATAGCCATCATTTGCAGCAACGTGTCAAAGGTGTCAATTCTTTGGTCTTTCTTATCGATTGTTCAACTCTGAGAAGCATACAAAGCAACTGAAAAAACCACATGGCTTGGGGCAGTCGCATCTTAGTCTTTATATTTTTGCTCATATTGAATATACCATGTACTACTAAGAGAACAAACAAGTTCATCCTGGATAGGGTGAGACCAGGCTGTTCCTTGAAGGAAAGGATTCTGAAGCTGACATAATTTGGGCATGTTGCAAAGAGGGCTTAGTCCTTGCAAAGGGATGTCATGCTTGGGAAGGTGGACAGCATAAGAGAGGAAGACCCTGTTACTGGAGATGGTACCTCATTGTGGTTTTGATTTGCAACTCTTATTGCCAGTGATTTGGAGCATTTCTTCATGTGTCTGTTTGCCATTCAAATATCTTCCTCTGTGAAAATTTCCATGTCTTTTGCCAATTTTGTAATTGGGTTATCAGTCTTTTTCTTGTGGAGGCCCAGTATGATTCTGTAAACTTTTGTTATAAGACTCTTCTCTGAGATGGTATTATCAAATGCTTGCTCCCGGTCTGTAGGTTTTCCTTTCACCCTTTTGGAAAAAGGTTTTGATGCACATGATTTAATCTTTAGAAGGTCCCATGTATCAATTTTATCCTCTTCAGACTGGGCATTTCTGATTGTATTTGGCAATCTCTTTATACCTTGGACTAGTGCTTGTAAGCTTGATCCCAGTTTGTTTCTTATGAACATTAATGGTTTTGGGCTTTACTCCCAGGTCTCTGATCCACCTTGAGTTGATTTGGTTTTTGGTTTTTTTTTTAATATGGTGTGAGATGTGGATCCAGCTTTCTTCTGGTAGAAGTCCATTTTTGCCAGCACCATTTGTTGAAGAGGTTATCATTTCCCCATTTGATAGATTTGATTTCCTTGTCGAACATCAGTTGACCATAGATAGCTGGGTATATTTCTGGGTTCTCAATTCTGTTCCATTGGTCTATGTGCCTGTCACTGTACCAGTATTATGTTGTTTTGGTTACCACTGCTGTGTAGTAGGTTTTGAGGTCAGAGAGTGCTATGACTCCAACCTAATTTTTATTTCTCAGAAGTGTTTTGCTTATTTGGAGTCTTTTGCCTCTCCAAATAAATTTAATAATTTCCCTTTCAATCTCCTTGAAAAAACAATTTGATAGGTGCATTGGGATTACACTGAACATGTAGACTGCTTTTGGTAGGATTCTTAAGTTTTACAATATTGAGTCTTCCTGTCCATGAACAGGGCACATTTTCCCATTTCTTTAGGTCTTTTATTGTGTCTTGCAGAAATGCTCTGTAGTTTTTTGGTTTTTTTTTATAGGTCTTCTGTATCTCTAGTTAGATTCACTCCCAAGGATCCCAGTAACAGTGGCAAAGTTTAAGAGGGCAGCAAATAATAAACGTTGGCGAGGATGTGGTGAAAAAGGAACTCATACATTGTTGGTGGGATTGTAAAATGGTACAACCATTCTGGAAGGCTTCCTCAAAAAGCTGACCATAGAAATTCCATTATGACCCAGCTTTTCCACTACTTGGAATATACCCTGAGAAAATGAGAACTGAGGCACGAACTGAGATTTGTACACCAATGTTCACAGACACATTACTCACCATTTTAAGAACATGGAAACAGCTAAAATGTCCAACCACAAATGAACGGATTGAAAAGTTATGATGGAAAAAAAATTTAAAAAAAGAAAAATTATGATGGAATACTACAGAGCATGTAGGAGCAATAATTTTATAAATTATTACCTAACTTGGGAGGGACTGAAGAGCATTATGCTGAGTGAACTAATTCAGTCCCATGAGGATTAATATTGTATAAAACCATTATTAGATTAAGTACAAAGATCCAAGAGGGGTGGGAGAGGGTGGAAGCAGGGTGAAGGAAATAGAAAGAATGTGTTCTTAAAAGCAATGTATTCAAATTATGTAAATAAACTAGTAGAAAATAAAAAAAGAGAGAGGAAGATCCTCAATGAGATGGACTGAATCAGTGACTGGGGAAATGGCGGTAGGCATGACAGAGACAGTGAGAAGGGCACAGGATAGAGCAAGGTTTAGGGCTGTTGTAGAGAGGGTCGCTATGAGTTGCAGGCGGCTCGACGGCACATAACAACAACAACATTACCACTTCATAGGTCTCTGACAGCACATTTTCTGATTTCTTGACTAACTGCTACATGGGTACTGATTGTGGATCCAAGTAAAATTATTGACAGACTCAGTCTTCCAGTGGTGAAGATTTTTTTTTTCTTGATGTAAATATTGCCTCCATATTGAGGCTGTAGCCTTTGAACTTATTCAGTAAGTGCTTCAGGTCTTCTCTTTCTGAAAGCAAGGTTTTTTATCTGCATTGCATCATTTTTGTCTTCTTCCAACTCTGATGTCACAATCCATTTCAAAAAGTCTTTTCAAACAATCTGCCCAGCATCCACATTGAATAGGTCTGGGATTTACAAGGGAAGTTAATAGGTTGCAACAGGCCCTTTGACGTTCAGCCTCAAGGTTATGGCCAGTGTTACAAAGTTCCCAGGATGTCTCCAGCAAGCTTGGATGAAGCCCTGGCTCTGGCTCTGTGAGACAGCAGCTTCAAGCCAGCTGTCTCATGTTGGTCTCTGCTGCTCTCCTGCAGGTCCTGATCTGACTGATACAGGAAATTCTGGCCCCAGAGGACACCCATTGTGTATGTTCTCTGGTTCTTCTTTCTTGCTGATCTTGAGACTTCCCCCTGCACTGCTGAACTTGCTCAATTCCACCTGGTGTGATGGACGAAATCAACCAGTCCCATGATTAGCTTGCACATCCCATTTTAGGTTCCCACCCAGTCACGTGGGAAAGTCAAAACCAAAGGAGTCTTGAACATACCATAGGCCACCAAGAAAACAAATAGGTTTTATCTTGGAGAGAGTGAAACGAAGTTTCTCCTTGGAAACTAGGATTTTGAAGCTCTGTCTTATTTACTTATGGGCATGTGGCCAGGAGGGACCTATCCTCAGAGAAGTACATCATGCTTGAAAGGGTTGAGGGACAGCACAGGAGAGGAAGACCTGGATGAGATGGAGTGATACAGTAACTGGGGCAATGGGGGTAGGTGTGTTAGTTAGTGAGACTGGCTCAGGACAGGACACGCTTCAGAGCTGTTGTACGCAGGGTTGCCAACCGCACATAACAATAACAACAACAGCTGATTTGGTAACATCTAACAAAAACAACAAAGCCTTACTCTGAGGCTCTGTCCACTCCTCATTTTGCTTCCTTCCCTCCACGGACATGAAATGTTTTGAGACCACAGAAAACCACCACCTGAAGACAGCAGCACCATGATTCCAGTTTAGTGTTAGCATTTATTTTAAAAATACACAAAATATAAAATTTTTACATCAAAGTGTGATAATCTCATGTATACATTGTTCCATACTTACCTCGCTTTGTCTGCAACCTTATGCAAACATCAAGAATAAATGGATTTGAGTCTAGTTTTTTGCTCGGGTTCAAGTAAGCAGTGGAGACTGCTACAGAGAGTAGGTTATCTTGAACCTACTGAAAAGTGGTCACAGAAACCCAACAGTAAAACAATTCCATTTGGTTTGTTTAATGACATTGGCAGTAGTCTTGAGAGACAATCCAAGACTACATATTGGCTTCTAGGTATTTTAAATATTAAAAACTTTTGAGATTTTGTCATGTAAACATAATAACTTAGACTTTGTTGGCATGAAGTTTAAAAAGTAAAATATTAAACCATGATTTTCATCATCCTCTCTGTCAATATATGCTCTTTTTATTATGAGGGAGAAAAAAAAAAAAACAAAAAACCACCCCAAAAATACATCAGGAATTTCAAACTGTACGTCAGAGAAGGTTCCGGTCGGTCTCTTCTGGGAGCAGAACGATTGTAAGCTGACCCTGCAACCCACTGAGAAGGATCACCTCGCCCTCCGGACAGGGCACCGGCCCAGGCCACGCAATGGTGAGCTCTTCCCGCTCAGCGTGGTCCTGAAGCAAGGCGAGACTCCACGTCCACCTCTGCCAGCTCTGCGGTCCTGCCGTGGGCTTGGATTCGTCGGCGTTAGGGGTGCGCTACCGCTGTCAAGACTGTACGGTTCCCTTAAGGTACCACATGCCACCATAGCTTACGCAGCAGTCCTGTGAGAAAAGGGGCACATTGGAGCAGGACACGGAGTTACCACAATCTGGCCAGAGTGTCAGAACCACAGCTACGATTTGTAGACAGAATGCAAATGAGAAGTCAAGGGCCAATTAAAGCAGTGTTGTGGTGGCTAGTCATTTCTGTTTTGGGGGCCAAGGATATTTTAAGGGTAAGGGACTATAAATGGGCTTTGGCTTTCCATAAGAAAGCACCTGAAGGGGATCCTTGCAACAGACTCAGAGCCGAAGCCCATCACGTCTCCTATCACTACACAAAAATCAGACTTACCTTTAGCACTTTATCCACTTCCTGTTTACTCAGATCTTCCCCACACTCTTGCGTCAACCGAGACTGGATCATGTTCCGGCGCACGCGGTAATTTTTGGAAAAAATTTCAAGCAAAACCTGTCGGTGCTTTGAATACCAAAAAAAAAAAAAAGGTCATTATTGGAAAACAGTCCCCAAGATTAGCGATCTAAAGCGTATGCCATAAAAAGTCCTTGCCCAAGGATTCTGCTAAAGATTATTAAGTTGGGACAATCTGACATCTCTCTACCTCAGTAAAATGATGGAGAGCAATAAAAGCATTAGGTCCACAGAAACAAAAGGACAAGTGAATGGAAAAGCAGCTCGGGTATTTCTGCGAGGGGAAGAAACAAACAAAAACCCAGGCAGCTGATTTATAGCTCACTGTAACTGAGTCAGCATCAAAAAACAGCTGCCCCTCTATTGAGTTTTGATTATTTTTCCACTGAGTTTTTCAAGCTATAAATCACATGAGAGAAGACTGAGTAGTTTTCTCGCTTGGAGCTGCTGGTGGAATAAAACCAGTTATAACACTATAAACTGGTGAGTGGCTTATCTAAAAATCTGATAATATATCTCACCTGCTACACATTCCCCCCACATACACTTTCAGGGGGCTCTGGTGGCCTAGTGGCAAGGAGCTGTGGCGCTGCAATCCCAAAGGCATGCAGTTCGAATCCACCAGCTGCTCTCTGGGAAACAAATGGGCCATCTCTTCTTGTGTGATTAACTGCCTCTGAAAACCCACTTGAGGGTCAGCTATGAGTCAGTTCCGACTTGACGGTACACAACACCACTACCACATTCACCCAGTATTAAAAAACTAAACTCAATGCCTTTGAATGCATTTCAATTCATGGTGACTCAACAGGACAGGTTAGATGTGTCCCGATGGGGTTTCCAGGCTCTAGATCTTTACAGGAGTGGACTAGTCACCCAGCGCAAACCCCACTGTTTCCAGGTTTGACTCATCAGGTTTCTGAGGCTCTACTTCTGGGAGGAGATTGCTCACCTCTCTCCCAAGGAGCATTTCGGTTCATAGCACAACACACTACACCACCAGGTCCAGAGCCTCACCCACCACTGCAGGAAGCTGTGGGTAATATCTAATTATGTCAAACAGCAGCAGAAACACACTTAGCCTTTTTTAAGAAAAGTGATACCTTTGTTGTTCTTAGGTATCAATCATCAAGTCAACTAAGCCTCACAGCAGCCCGATGACCAACAGATGGAAACCCCACCCTATCCCGTGAACCTCCCAATCGCCACCTTCCTCGAGCCCACTGCTGCAGTCACTGTGCGTTCCTTCTGGATGAGGGCTTTCCTTTTTCTCTAGCCCTCTCACGTTCCCAGTATGACAACCTTGTCCAGGGACCAGGCAGCTAGGAGATTACAGGACAGTCCTAAGCTGTGTCACACGGAGCTGGGATCTGACTTGACAGTAAGTTCAGTTTAGGGGTTGTTTACGTATCAAAGACTGAAATGTCCAGTCAATTTTGACAGAAACATGAAGACAGAATGTTAAGTTGGGAGAGGCTGAAAAATCCCAAAGGTACTTGTGTGCACTGCAGGTGGCTCACCCCACAGGCACTCCCCCACCCTCCAGAAAAACGTCCAGTGACCTGGGCAGATGGCAGCAGACAGACGCAGCCTCACCTGGTCGCTCATGTCTCCAGACTCCCAGAGGGCGAACACCTTCTGTTCATCAGGGGAAGCAGCAGTCTGTGGGGGAAACTAACCAAGGCCCAGGCGTGAGTTGGTTCTCTGTTGTTGCCCTGGGGTTCACCTACCTGTCTGACCAGCCCAAGTCTTGAAAACATGGTTTCCAATCCCAGCTCCTCCCATGCACTAGCTGTAGGGCCTTTTGGGTGATCAGATCACCTGAGTGATTTGTTCCCAAGACCAGCAGCACCCTAGTGGGGCTTCAGGAAGAGAAGGGAAGGGAAATGCCTAGCAAGAAGCCTCTGGCTATGCTGGGACAGCGGAGGATCAGCCTCCATCAGCCCAGTGTCCTCCTATGTTAACAGGTAAATCCTCAGGTGTCTTGAGACGCGGTCCTTCCTTCAGAGCTCCATGAAAGGAATCCATAGGAATTTCTTTAAGCACCCCCTGAGGACCAGTCAGTCTAGGACAGGCCTCCCAAGCACAGGCTCTGGGAACCAGAGGAAGGGGAACCCAGATGAGTGACCTCCAGTCACCACTCGAGAGGCTTCAGCCGCAATCATCCTGGGTCATTAGACACATGGACCAATCCAGACGGCAGCCCATTCTCAGAGGAAAATTTGCTTCTGAAAGGGCGCCACTTCCTGTTCACAGTCACACAGCTAAGAAGCCACAAAACCAGGAGCTACACTCTTCCTGAGCCTCATTCCTGTTGCCATGTGCAAAATCCCGAAGGGGCTGGATGGACCGAATCTCCTCCAGCTCATACCAGACTATGCTGGGTGGGGTCACTCAGAGGGAAAACAAGGAGAGTCCATGTGGCTGAGGGGTCACCCCAGGCTGCAGCTGCGCCAAGCAGAAGCATCGTGAAAACAGCAGGTCCACCTGCTGTGGGCAGCCCACCTCAACTTCCCATGTGACCTGTCCACTCCTCAGAGCCAGGACCTCATTACCCTCCCCTGGACCACCCTGAAGATCCCTGGGCCTCTCTACTGAGTGAGCAAGGGCTGTACCAAATAGAGCAGGAGTCCTAGGCCTCAGTGCCCTCCAGAGGACACCTCCCCAAGGAGGGCCCTGTGAGGAGGCAGAGACTGGCCCGGTGCCTTTAAGTGTCTGCACTGAGGCCACATCTCCTGAGATAGCCTGAGTGGGGGCCTCTTGTCCTGGTTTCTGTTCCTCACGTACACAGGGCGGGGCCTTGGCCTGAAAGCATCACCCTAAGGCCACAGGTGCTTCTGACCTTGGCACTGGAAAGGCCAGCTTCACGTCATCCAAGTGCTGCCAGAGCCTGGACGCGGCCCAAGGTGGCCGCTCTCAGGCCCCAGCCCAGCACCCTTGACCCCAAAACACGCAATGCTTGACACACACACCCCTGCTTTGTGGTCCACTCCAGCAATGGGAGAAGCAGCCTGGGGTGTGGCTGGCCACCATGCCACCTGCGGGGCCTGAAGCTGGAGATGCTACTAGGGAGGGCAGACACCCGTGGCGCCCACCTGCTCCGAGGACCAGGGCCTGCCAGGACCAGCCCATGCGGGGGGTTGACACAGGCTCTGTGGAGGCATCAGCTCATCTGCATTGCAGCACAAAGAACCTGACACTTGGGACTAGCTACACTGAAGCTCACATTCCAGCTCTATCTCCTCCTGTACGTGACCTCGGACCTGCAACTGCATCACTGCAGCTGCAGAAAGAACTCAAATACGCCAGAGATGAAATGGCAAAGCTGACAGGAACAGGTGAGGTATCATCAGGGCAGAGGAGCAAGAAACCAGGAAAGGGAGTCTGCGTTTCCTGAGGCCCTGCAACACAGGTGATGGTTTCAAGACACCCCAAAATCTAATGATACAACAAAAGTCCCCCCTCTTGATAAATATCTAGAAGTTCAGAGGCTGACATGCCCACAGTCACACACAGCCACACCATGAGAGCCAAGGTTCAAACCAAGGTTGGTGAGCGACCTTCTGAATTCCCATGGCCCCTGTGGCCTCTCACAGCTGCCTTCCCCACAGCTAGGCTACAGGCCACTCCAGACCCGTAGGCCCACACTGGGAGCCTGGGGCCCATCCGCTGGGGGGCTGCCATCGACCTCGTTTCTCCCCTCTACTTACAGGCACCAGTATCTGCTTGCACCCAGCAGCCAGCACCGTCTCTTGCAGCATGCGGTCCGAGATGCCACTGAACAGGATGTGGCCAGGCGGCAGGCTCGCCAAGTGCATGTTAAAGAGGCGCTTGAGTTCGCTCAGCGTGAGCACAAACTGTCTCTGGAAGGTGGCCTCCACGAAAGCCCTCAGTTCCTGGGCCACCGGGGTGCCGACAGTGCCTGGGGGCGGGTGCCCGTTGAAGCTGGCCCCACCTGCTGCCCGCCCAGCAGGCAGCCCATTGGCCAGCCTGCTGCTGAAGCCCCCGCTGGGGGCAGTGTCCATGGGCTCCTCGTCCTCCGGCTCCTCCTCGCCCTCCTCACTCATGGGCTCCTCCTTGATGCGCATGGCGGACTGCGCGGAGGCCTGCAGCTGCTCCTTCCGGTGCTGCAGCTCCCGCTCAAGCACTGCGTGGTTCTGCTGGGCCCTGACTTTGGCGGTTTGGACCCGCTGATCCCCGGAGACCAGAGTGGCAGGCACTGTGGGCAGAGGGGCAGCGCTGCTCAGAGACCCCTGGGCTGAGACCTGAAGAGCAAAGCCCAAGACCCACCCGCCCTGAGGCCAGCCCAGCCCTCCAGCCTCCAGGTAAGCCAGTGAGGGCTGAAGACAGAGTTCACCCCTGCCTCTCACCTCCACATTACTTAGGGTCAAGAAACAGAACTGAGGATATATCAACCCCCATCTTCCTGTGAAGGGGAGATCCTGAGAGTTCTTGTTGGCAGCCCCTGGGGACCCAGAACCAGCTCTCGGAGCTGAGCTCTCAGGCCCTGTGGCTGTCGCTAGAGATGTCTTCCCTGAGCTATGTGGACAAAGACATTGGGGAGTCAGGGCCACGTTCCCCCTGTAGGCCTGTACCCTCACAAACCTGATTGTCCTTCTGGCTTCTTTGGCATGGTTTCCTTCACAAGATTATAGACTTTTTCTAATCTGGGCAGAAAAATAGAAGGTAAACTCATTTACCTTTAAGCTGCCTGTTCCCCATAACTCTCATCACAACAAAAACATATCCCCTAAGCTCCAGAAAGATACCTACGACCCTCCTTTCCTTCCGGGACCACCTCTCCTCAGAGGGCCCGGTGGCCGAGCAGCAGCCCGTCTTGTCCCTCCTCAGCCTCCTCCCAGCCACACAGCGTGGCTGACTCTCCTCTGGTCTCCCACAGGCCCTGATCCTCCTCCAGCCACAGAGCTGCCCAGACGTCCCAGCGAGGGACACAGTGCAGCACTGTGCTGGAAGACGGGCGCGCGGGCCTGGGCCCTGGGGGCACCTTCACTGCCTGGCCTGGCTAACCCAGCTGCCCAGCATCCACCCAGCTGGCTTACTTGGCCTGGATCCCTGTCCACAGCATGTGCTGTCTCTGGACGACATCGGGGTGCTTCTTGATGAACTCCTCATCGTAGGGCAGCATGAACTCCCAGCCTTTGTTGACCCTCACTACCGCCATGTGCTCCAGGAAGTCCTTCACGTCCTCCATGCAGAGCTGGGAGGGGAGAGGCTCATGAGGCCCAGGAAGCCAAGAGTCCCGCCTGGCCCCCCTCAGGCAAGAGGGACCATGAGGACACTTACTTTGGTCACGGCTGCCACCTCTTTCCTCACTACCCAGCGGCTCTGTGTGAACTTCCACATCTGGAAGAGAAAACACGCACATGTCTAGGAGGAGCAGAGATGAGACTGTCCGAGGACTGTCCCCTCAACACCCACATGGGTGTCCTGGGACCTGGGGTAAGGGTACAGAGCAGGGGCCTGTGACGGGCCCCGGGTCGGGCTGACCTGGCTGAGGTCAGTCTTTACTGGCCGTGTGGCCTTGGACAGTCATTTGTGCTCAGCCTGGTCATTTCCTTCATTGGAAATCCCATCCAGGCTCAAGCCCACCCCACCTGGACCACCATGGCCCCAGTCCAGAGAGGCCTCTTTCTTATTCAAGCCCAAATTCCCCACCCTCCTGCGAGTCTCAGAGAGGGCCCAGCTCAGGAGCCACAAACACAGGTGCCTGTCGTGAGCAAGGAGGTAACAGGAAGGCCACAGCTCGCTGGGAGCAGGGTGACCTGAGAAGGTGGTAGGGGTGGGAAGGGGACCCAGCAGTGCCTCAAGACAGGCTGGAAAGTAGGCTTGCGTCACAGTAAGGATTCTTAAAACCCAACATCCCATCAGTACTTCAAATGCTTCTCATTCAAAACCTGCTCCTTGGCCAGTTCCCACTGAGGAGCCCCTAGTCTGCAGCCTCTGATTCAGAGGCATTCATGGGGGGCTAGGACCTGAGACCTAGGATCCTGGGGAAGGAAGGGAGGTGGAACGGGCAGTGCCTGCCACAGAGGACTCCCACATGACCGCCCCGTCGGGGACTTACCACGAAGTCTCGGCCCCTGCAGAGCACCTCAGCAGGCACGCCGCTGTGGGGGCTGGAGGAGTCTCTGGGGTACAAGATGTCACTGGTAATGAGAGCGGAGATAGGCAGGTTAGTCCTGGGCCCATGTCCCCAACCCCGGGCTCATGGTCTTTGCCTCAGACCCTGAACGCCTCCTTCCAGCATGGCCGGTGCAAGGATGCTCTGGAAGGTGAGTCTCCCCACACAAGCCTGTGTGGCCACAGACACTGGCAACAATACCCACACCAAGGCCTCCAGCACCCGTAGTGGGGGTTGTGTGAACCCTGTGAGAGAAGGTGGTGCTGGGGGGCCCCCTGAGGCCCCAGTACAGTCCAAAAAGCATTTGGAGAAAAGCCAGCAGAACTCAAGGTTCAGAGATGAATGAACAGGGCAGTGGGGTATCCAACTCCAGCTACAGATCCCAGGGCCTAGTAGGCACACCCTTTATCCTGTGGTCCACACTCACCACGTCCTGGAAGGCTCTGTCTCCCTCCCTCTCCCTGCAACCCACCCTACAACCAACTAAGGCTCCCTGTCTGCACTGAACCCCCAACCCTGCCTCATGGCACCGTGACCATTCACAGAGACAGGATTGACACCCACATAGTCTAGCCCTGAGCTCGACACCTGGCTGCCGTCCAGCATGTTCAGTTGCCACAGTGGTTCCCCACTGCCCTACTAGTTTGTGGAGGACAATGTCTACCACAGCACAAAAAACTGAGAACCACGGACAGGCAGAACAAGTGAACTTTAACCCTGAGAACACTAACCACTGACTAGGCTCTGGTGTGGGCTGCAGACAAGAGCAGCAAGGTTGGTGGGGACCACCAGTGACATCTATGCAAAGAAGCTGGGTTTGGGTCACCGGCCTCAACTTCTCACCCCAGTTCTGTGGCTCACTTACTGAGAGATGCTTGGCAAGTTCCTTTACCTTCTGATGAGCAATCAGCTTTTCTTCATAGACTCAACTAGATTTCCTGCACTTATGAGATGAATCTATACACTGTGTTCACATTTAATGAGGAGCCTCCTCAAAGGTGCCCACCAGCAGCAGTTGCAAGGGACTGCTGTACAATCTGTCAAGTGGTGAGAGGGCGCCACCATGTGGTAGTGACAAAACAGAGCAAGGTTTGCTGTGTTGCCCACAGGTTCAATAGAGCTCAACTTGAAGGTGGTCAATAATTAACTGGGCCAATGGCTAACCAACTTTGTAATAATGGACTTTTTATAATAAATTTCTTTGTTTAAAGTTTGATAAAATTCACGTTTTGATAGTTTAATTGCAGTACAGTCCAAGTTCTGTGAGCTTGTTCACTTTATACTACATTAAAATATAATTCAAAAGTGCATCTCTAGCTTTTTATGAAGACGGTAGTGAAAGCAAAGAAGGAAGCCCCTGCCCCTTCCAAAACTTAAGCCAAAGTAAAGGCATTAAATGCCAGAAAGACAGTCCTGAAGGACAACCACAGCCACAAAAAAAGATCTGCACGTCACCCACCTTCCAGCAGCCTAAGATGCTGAGACTCTGAAGGCAGCCCAAGTATCCCTAGAAGAGCGCCCCAGGAGAAACAAGCCTGACCACTAGATCATCATGATGTTTCCTCTGACCACGGAAGACAGCAACACACTTGTGTTCACTGTGGATGTCAAGGCCAAAAGCACCAGATCAAACAAGCTGTAAAGAAGCTCTCTACACCAATGTGGCCAAGGTCAACACCTTGCTTAGGCCTGATGGAGAGAAGAAGGCCTATGTTCCACTTGCTTCTGACTATGACGCTTTGGATGTTGCCAACAAAATTGGGATCATCTAAACTCTGACTTGATGGCACGTAACAACTACAACTACCACCTGAGTCCAACTGGCCAAGTACAAATTTTTCTCACCAAAAGAAAATGCATGTCTATGAATATGGGAGCTCTGGCGGACTAACGGTAAGAAGCTGTGCTGCCAACCTGAAGGCATACAGTTCAAATCTACCAGTTGCTCTGTGAGAACGACGGGCAATCTCCACCAGTGTGATTTACTGCCTCTTAAAACCCAGAGTCAGCTATGGATCGGTTCCGTATAAACGGATGGTATATACACAGCAACAGCATGCTGATACGGTTTAAAAGTAATATAACTCAATATATTAATATTTTAATTAAAACCATTTGATGGAATTAATATCATTAAGACAGAAATAAATTCAGTCACACTGTATTTACCAATGTGCCAGGCATTATGCCTTGAAATGGAATCTAGTGAAGTAATCCCAGACACTTCTTTCAGAAACTTCTGAAAGACAGACATCATCAAGTCACAAACTCAAAACCAATGAACCTCAAATGGCCACAAAGAAAGAAATTCCCATCTAGACTTATCTCACTGACACTGGGAAATCAAAACAAAGAGGAAACTTTAAAGGTAATCAAAAGGAAAAAAGGGGGGGATCACCTCCAAAGGAACAAAATTAGATGGATAGCTGATATGTCAACAAAAACAATCTGAGCAGAACACAAGGGTCCCTGACTTAATGACACAGTCACATAACAAGAACCACATCACGACTGCTGCTTTTTAAAAACAATGCTAGATTTATAAAGACACTGACAGCATAAGGCATCATAATGAAAACTGGGGATAAGTGGGGTGAGGGAAAGAGGCGTTCAACCTACTTAACATGAAGCTGTAAACCGCCCGTCCTAAGTTGGGGGCCCCTTACAATGATGTTTATCAATGTGCTGGAAGAAAATAACAATATAGCATCCGATTCCCAGGGAACATGTCCTTAAAAGAATATGGATAAAATAGGCATTTCCCCATAAACAAAAATTAGGAAAATTCACCACTGACAAACCTGCACAAAGGGAATATGTCTATAACATAGTTTTGGCAGATCATCCCAGGAACAACCTTGTATATGTGGAAAGGAATGAGGGGCAAAATCCAAAGGTAAAACTAGAGGTGACTAGACTAGCAAAATGACAATACAACGAACTCCAGGGCTCCACACAGAGATGTAAAGTATGCAAATGCAGCAGCATGAGCTATTCAGGATACAAAATATCCCAAAGTCTGAAATGTCTTGAAAGGCAGTACCAACAACATTAAACTGGGATGTGTCATGCTGAAATCTACAGGATAACCATTAAAAGTTAAAAGAGATATAACTTGTAAGGAAGGAATAATAAAATAATCAGTTCAGGTGACAGCTAAAATGAACTTAAAATGTAGGCAGGACAAAAACACTAAGAGGCAGAAAACAGATTAAAATTCAAAACACACTAATAACCATAAAGAGTAAATGTTCCCATTAGTCAATAAGGAAGCTGCAGAATGAATTTACCTCTTCACCACCCAGTTTCCCTGGACTAACATAGCCACCTTCTGGATGCCACGCAGAACAGCAACAGGATCGACGGAGGTGCCCAGAAGACTCATTAAGTTGGCAAAAGGCATGACCTTCACTGAGAGGAAAACAGGAGACATTAGACAACAGGGGAGAGGTCTGGGTCCCTATCTTGCCCACCAACAGTCTGCATAGCTTCAAGCTCACACAGCACCCCCAGAACATGAATCATGACATCATCACGAATACCAGTGACTGGCATTCATTACTACAACCTGGACACTATGAATCTTCAGTTACTCTGTGAGGAAGAATTTATTGTTATGCCCAATTTACAATTGTGTGAAAACTCACACAAGATAACATGGCTAGTTAAGTGGAGCACAGGGTTTGCAGGTCTAGAAGTCTGTGCACTTCACCATAATGCTCTGTTACCTCCCAGCTACCCAACTGAGCGGTGAGCAGGGCAGGAGGGTGATGGGGAAGGTCCCCGGGTCTCCTGTGTCCTGGCAGCCCCTGGTCTAGCAAGGTGTCCTCTTTCAGGAGATCAAGAGACCAGTCCCCACTGTGCAGTATGGTGAGGGCACCATGACACAGTCCTAGTCAACACACTTTGCTATTAAAGACCACAGTTCGTGTTTGAATGTGCAGCTCTGACTCGTGTCCTTTACACAGATAAAGCGTTAGGGGTCAGAGAGTTAAGGACCTGCCCGAGTGCACAATGAGAGGCGAGGAGAAGATGCTGTGGTATCCCACATCTGCCTGGGTGCCCAGGAAGGCAGAGGGGACCACCCACCGTTTTTCATCAGGATCTTGATCTGATCGGCCAGGGGCAGGGTGCGCAGCTGGGCCATGGACAGGACGTTGCTGGGAGCCATAGGTTTGTCTCTATTGTAAAGAGAAGGAAGAGTTAGAGCAGGCTGGGCCAGGGGAAGGAGGCGAGTCCAGCCCACTGCTACTTACTTCTCCTCCTCCTGGCCAGGTGGCATCAGCATCATGAGGTATTCACTGTAGGAGAGAGAGTAGGGGCAGGGCTGTGTCCCTGAAAACAGCCTGCAGGCACACTGCAGACAGGCTGACATCTCCTTACCAGAGCCTCAGGAAAGGGACAGGGAAGCGGGAGCAAAGGGCACACTAACAAGATGGACAGTCGCCACAGGAAAATCAGACCACCACCCCTTCCATGGCGACCTCTGACCCTTCTTAGAGGACAAAGGACTCAGCCCTCCTCAGTGTCCCTCACACCCCCAACACTAAAGAAAGGAGTTCAGTTCCACGGGAGGACTGGTCGGGAAGGAGTGTCACACAGAGACCCTGCCAGGGGGTCACGGTTAGGTTCAGGGGGTGGGTCTCGTCCAGCCAGGCTCACCTGGGTGACTTAACGAGCTCTGTGTTCTCGACCCCGCCGGAGCCCTGGCACAGCAGGTACTGCCGCTCGTACTCAGAACGGCTGTCCTGTTGCAGGAGGGAAGGACAGTCTCAGGCACACACACCCCAGGCCCTGGCCCTGCCCAAGGCCTCTGCCACCCACCACCCACCAGTCACCCACTGTCTGGCTCAAAGGTCACAGTGTCACCTTCAATCTCCTGAGCTCAACACTAAAGGTAACTAACTTCTGGGGCTGGGACCCCACAGCCTCCCTTCTGGCTTTAAGACCACAAAACCCCAGCCCCTGGGACTCATGTCCTGTGCTATGTGAGAACATGACAGGAAGGGTCAGAACAGCTGACGTTTACCCAGCACCGAGAGCTACACACACATGCTAACTCCCGCCATTCTCCAAAGAATCTACAGAAGAGACTCTTTTAATCCTCATTTTACAGAGAAGGAACGAGAGAGGCAGAGGTTAGTTAACTTGCCTGAGGTCACACATTAGAAAAACTCCAGAGAAATCACGAGTTGTTCCTCCTCTACAAAAATTCTAGGGAACCCTCAAAAGCTATTATTTCAATGCTTCTGTCACTCAGTGTGTCATTAGGCTCTGAAATCAATGCATAAGATGAAACGAGCACCTAAAAAAACTCCCGTGAATACATGGGGACTCACAGCCATGTGGCAGATGTGCACACACACTAAGTGGCCATGGTCAAAGGCCATGCTGCAAGACCAATTCCAGACCCACTCTGAGTCCAGCTCAGGGGGCAAGGCTGAAAACCCCTCATTTCCTACTCATGAGGCACACGCCAGGAGAATGCCCGTAACATGGGCAAACACCAAGGGCTGAAATGCTCGCAGTGGAACCCCAAGGGCTACAGCTGGACTGGAACTGAGCTGAGGGTGAGCTGAAGCCGCTTCCCGACCCCCGGGCTCACCCTGAGGCTGTGGTAGTGCAGGTGCACCCAGGGCTCCTCGGCGTGCTTCTTCTGGAGGAACTCGTAGGACTGCACGCGGCGCTGTCGGGCCTGCTCTGACTCCGGCCGGGAGAACCGCACCTGGGAGTGGAGGAGACACTCAGCCTGCACCCTGCCCAGGGCGGAGGACCCCACCCCTGGGGCCCGATCCCCTCTCCCGCCCTCCTCACACTCAAGCCAGGGAGCACGCTTCCTTTATCACTACTGGCCCGGCATCCAGTCTCTTCTCACTGTGAAAAGCACCGCTCCATTTTCTTTGGGAAACTTAAGTTTCCTTCAGTTCAGGAGAAACCAGATCCTGAGACCCTCACACATACTCAGTCACTGGAACAGCTAGCTCACAGGTCAGCACTAGATAATCAGAGCGCCAAGTCCTCTGCTCAGAGACTGGCTGAGTTAATGAGTTAACTCTGTGACTTTAGTTAGTTGAGAAAGCACTCTCTCTTTCCCAGCAGTCTTAAAGAGATGTGGCCTGAAGCTGGGGACAGACACTTTGCCTGTAAGGGGGGCCAACAGAGGCAGGCAGAACACTGAGTCCGAATGAATCAGCATTCCTGAAACTATACCTGACCCATTCAGTAACAAACTACAAACATGCCAGTTTCTACTCAGGCCAGTCGGCTCTGGGTCTCTGTCACCAAGCGTCCTTGAGGACCCAGGGTCTGTCTCACCTCCCCTGTGCGGGGACCTGTGTGGGGGCTTCAACCAGACTGTCCACTCCTGGGAAGCCAAAGCCCAGAGGATGAGGATCTCAAGAGCATGAGGGCAGAAGAATGTCTGTTAAATGAGGACCAGTGAGCTCCCAGGACAAGTGTGGTGGCTGAGGTCGTCTGGCAAGCTACTGAGAACGAGGACAAGCACTAGGCCAGACCCCAGTCATGCCAACACTGGTCCATCTTCAATTTGGGACAAACATTAAGGCATCCATAGTGTGTAACCTGCGCCCTTGCTCCTGGAAGTCTCTCAATGGACTCGTTTTAACCTAGACACACTTTAGCAGCAAAACCCAACCCTACTGCCATCCACTGTGACTTCCAGTAGCCCCACGTATTACGTGCAGAGCAGAACCCCGTCGCTGGGCTGTAATCTTTACAGAATCTGATAACCCTTCGTTTCAGAGCCACCGGATGGGTTCGGGTCACACATCTTTAGGTTCTTAGCTGAGCACCCCCACCCCACCCCACCCCCTGGTGTTTCAATACCCTAAACAGAGTAGCGCTTCACTCTGCTGGACTGCAGCTTGCTAGGAGCTGGAATGACTTGACAGGACCCATGAACACAGCATAAACTAGGAAGGGGAGGCCACAGTTCTCTTAAGAATCTTAAAATAATGGAGTTTCTGGTAGTAAAATAGAGAAAGAAGTGGCAGTCTGCTCTCCTAAGATCTAGAGCCTTGGCAAATACTCTGTCCTACAGAGCTGCTAAGAGCTGGAATCAATGGGAGCAGGTACATTAAAATAGTGATTCTTCATCTGTGCACCACATGTCCTTCCCAGGCAGCTTTGCTGTGGCCCGACTTCCTCTTCCCCAGCAATCCCAACCAAGCCCCAGCACCTCATCTCCAGCAGGGGTGCCATCCCTGCTTAAGCTGGGATAAGCAGGCCAAACAGGGTTAGCTCTAAGAGAACAGATGTTGAGTAACCGCCTCTCTCCCTGGAGCCCCACGCCTGCCGAGACCCCCTGTAGCACTGGCTGAATCAGGCAGCCGCTCCACAGTCAGCCCTGCTCCTCCCAGCCTGCCTCTCTATAAGGGCCAGCACTCACCGTGATCTGCTTAACGTCTTCTTCTGCCTCGTCCTGAGAAGAGTCTCCTGCTACAAGAGAAACAAGTTCCTGGCTCGCAGTAACTGGTGAACCTCCAACCTCTCTGCACCCTCAACCCCACCGGGATGGAGGTGGGGTCTCAGGGAGGGGCGTCTGTGGATCTCCTTCTAGATGCTTGCTAAGTCACAGGGTTTCACACCCAAGGGTTTTACACACAAACCCCTCTGCCCCACAGGGATAGCTAGCAATGTGTGGAGACATTCCTGGCACCAACAACTGGGGAGAGGATGCTACTAGCATCTAGCGTGAGGCTGGAGTGCCATTAAACAGCCTCCTATGGACAGAAGCACACCCTACAATCCAATCCCTTCAGTGGGCTTTCCTAACTCAGGTTGCCAACATGCAAACAGGCAGGCAGCAGCAGGGCTGGGGGCTGGCTCACCTTCATTGGCTGCCTCCCGCTCACGGTGCTTGGCGTCGGCTTTATCCAGGTAGGAGAAGCTGGGGTGCAACTGCAGGATGCCATGTAAAGGTGTCAGGTGGAGCTCACCTGGTGGAGGAAGAAGGGCAACCCGACTCTAGGAACTGGGGCTGGCCCACCCAGCGCGGCTCCAGGGAACTTCCCAAGGGTCCAGGACACCCCTGAAGGCCTGGGCTGAGGGTCACGCCATATCCCAGCCTTCTTTCCCAGCCTACAGATACTACAGCCCTGGGGCTGGGGGACACTCTTGGCCTGCGTTCAGAGCAAGCACATGACCCAGATCCAACCCATGAGCTTAAGGCCTGTGTTCAAATCCTTCAGCAAGCTGTTGGGGCCTCTGCCATCACACAGCCACACGGGCTGGGTCTACACCAAGCACACATCCCGCTCTCTCCTCACATTAAACCTCACGAGCCTGACTCCAACATTCAAGTTCAGACTTCCGAGGCTCACTGTGCCATAAGGAATCTAGTAGTAAAAATGGAGGGACATGATGGAGCTGGAGAAGGAGCTCCCCCCAGCCTCTGACAGAATCGGTAGCTCGCCCTGTGAACCTGGCTGCACGCACAGTTCTTCACGGGTAGTACAAAGACCAATGATTCCAATCAAGTTCAGGTAGACTAGAAGCAAGGAAGTTGGGGTGCTGAGGGTCCATGTGGCCCTGTGAAAGCTCTCTGGACTCCGGTGGGGACGGAATGTGCGTGATCAGAAGAAAATAAGTGAATGCCTGGGCACCAACCACCTGACAGTCTGTCTTGCATGTGTGTTTAGGAGAGGCACCCGCCCTCGACCCTTAAACGAGTTGACAAATTTTTAAAAATCATGTCGATGGTTAGCCCTCTCTCAGCTCTATTGTCTTATCTCTGCCTTGCTTCACAGTTCTCTACTTAGCTCCACACACATGATTTCCACAGCCTGCACTGTCTTGATGGTGTCCCATAGGCAGGGAGGCAGAGCAGCAGGCCAGGATAGGTACTGTCCCTCCCTGTCCAGGGCCCCTCCTGTTTCTCCTCCTACCCAACAGCCACCAGTCAGGTACCAAGAGCCAACAGAAAGCAAGGAGGCCCAGCCCCCTTACCTTTCCTGTAGAGTGCAGCTGCGTAGTGGGACATGTCACTGGCGGTCTGGGAGGAGCAGAAGGTCTGCTTATCCATCAGCTTCCTGGAGGCACAGGGAGAATGGCTCTCAAGGAGTAGGAAGACTAGAGCCAGTGCCAGGTAGCATCACCCACCCCACCAACGTCATCTTAAAACCGACAGCCAGGGACCAAGACCAAGGGCAACCTATATCTGCCTTAGGAGGAGAGCTGGGGAGGAAAGATCAGGCTTTGTCAGGTCGTGAGGACCAAGAGAGACATGGTGATGGTCTAGGGCCATTATCCACAAAGAACTTAGTCAGGCGAGTGACTGCAACAGACACAGACAAAGACACAGAGGGAGAAAAAGAGAAAGCGAAAGAGAGAGATACTCTTGTCATCCAACAACCACAAAGCTCAGAGGGCTCGGGGGCCAGGCAACTCACGAAGAGTACGTGCTTGTCTCATCAGTGCAGGTGCCATCCACGTTCAGAGCAATCTGTTCCCCCTTACTGCGGCAATAGTTGGGGTTCAGGGTGTCGATGGCCATCTCAAGCTCTACCTGGAGGAACCAAACATGCACACACACATATACCCCGTCTTGCTATGAGTACTCTCTTTAAGGGACAGTTTTCAGAGAAAACCCCTAAGCTCACTGTGGCCACCTCATACACCAGCCCCTGGCAATCCTGTCTCTGCCTAGAAGCAGGATGACACATGTCCTTTTCCAGTGGCCCCTAGGCTGAACCATGTGGTTTTTGCCACACGCTCAAATACCAGCAGAAATACCAGAGGGCTTTTATGATGGGCACATCGCTCTTACTGTCCCCACGCCGAAAAGATATAAATTAGGTGGCAACATTTTAAAACCAAGAGAATTATAGAAATCTTCATTACCAACTGCTCTTGAAAACAGCAGAGCTGGCAGGACCAGAAGATCATCTCCAGGCAGCACTGCCCACTCAGGCCGGGCCAGCCCAGGGATCGGGCGGCATCTCCGGTTCTCCCCATCCTTGTCTTGTCTCCTCGGCCCCTCAGGTGTTTGATGTATGGGGCCCACATCTTCCATCCTGCTCACTAATCCTGAGCGTTAAGCTCCACAGTTATAGGGGAGCTTCTCATCCCTCTTCCATGACAATTCCCTTGCTCAGCTTTCCAGAACCTACAAGCTTCTGATTCACCTCCCAACTCTTCTTTGCCCCTTTCACTGGGCTTCCATTCCCCTTATCTCCCACCTCCAACTTCAGAGGACAGGCTCACCTTCTGCTGTTTGGGCTTGATCTTGGCTGAGAGATGTGGAATGTCATCGTAGGTCATCGAGGCTGGGCGCACAGGGTACTGGGGCAGAAAAGGGGGTCATCAGTGCAGCCTGCTCAGCCTTCCACCAGCCTGAACTCCTGGGCTTCTGGCTGAGGATCAACAGCCACACTCCTCCCACTTCAAGCAGAGGCCCAATGACCCCAGAGCCACCACTAGCCTGGCCAGATGGCTCTGCCGCTGGTCTTGTCTGCAGCTCCATTTTTCTCACTGGCTCCCCTACCCTCCTTCCAAAAGGCAGTTTTAGAATGACCTGCCTTCTAGGGACATGGAGCTGGAGTATTCCCCACTAGGTTCTAGGAACCTCCAGGAGCCAAGAGTAAGGGCCCTAATCTCAGGTGCCCGTTCCCAGAAAACAGACAAGGAAAAACAAGACTGACAAAGGCTGGTCATCATGGACACTGGATGCTTGCCACATAGGAACTCACTATATCACTGTCTCTCCTTTTGTTAATTAAGTGTATGAACTGTCCTATAATAATGAGTGTGAGAAACAGGAGGTAGTCCATCACTGATAAAGTGCTGTCTGGGCCTCAGCTCTCCAGTGGTAAAACGACTGCTATAAAAATGAGCTCACACTTTGATAAGAAGCTGCACTGCCAAACCAAAGACACGTAGTTCGAATCCACCAGATAGATGCTCAATAGGAAAAAAGATGGGCAATCTCCTCCTATATAATTGACTGCCTCTGAAAACCCACAAGGGGTCAGCTCTTGCTTGGTTCTGACTCAACACACAACAACATATTCTTGCCCAAGAAAGGGTTATGTCCCAAAAGCTCACTTAAATTGCTATAGTACCCCTTCCTGATTCTTAGACTGGAGCTTGGAGCAGCCAGAAAGAGCAAAGGCAGCTGTGGGCAAGGAAGAGCACCTAAAACATGGGTGCTCTAGGCTGAGCCCCAGAAGAGGATGAGGGCTGGGACATGTCCTCAGAGCACCCTGGAAGTCCTGATCTGCTGACCTCAGGGCAGGAAAGAGGGTGGTGACAAACACTGGCTTTGGAATCACAGGCCTGGGTTTTGGTCTCAACCTTGCCATTTATGAGACATTGGGCATAGCTCTGTCCTCCCTGGGTGTCCTCATTTCACAGGGCTGCTGAGAACCCTGAGCTGACACCCTGGCCACACATGGGCTCACTGTGGCCACCGCCACTGTGCAGTCAAGGAAGCAGGTGGAGACACCCCCCATGAGAAGCCCACAGCACATGGCGGGTATGGCACCAGCTCTCCTTCCCCGAGTCCACAGGCTCCTCCTGCAAGTTATCTGTCAGCCCTTGCCTCACATTCTCCTACAGAGAATGCTTATAACTGTGCTAGTGAGAGTGTAAAACAGTATGGCAGTTCTTCAAAAAGTTAAACATATTACCCCACCAGCCAGCATTTCTACTTCAGCCGCACAAAATTTGTGCATTAATGTTCACTGCAGCATCATTTACAACAGGGAAGCAATAGAGATAGCATCAGCTATGGAGTTGGCTGATGATGGGCAAACAAAATGAGGTATCTCCAAACAACAGACCATTCTCTCTCTCTCATTCATTCATTCTCATTCTCTCTCATGTCCAGTGAGTAGGAATTTACTCATAGCTGACTCTAGCGGGAGTTTGGAGACTGTAAACTCATACAGGGGGAAACTGCCCATCTCTCTCTCTTACAGATTAGAATTGCTAGAGAGGTGCCGCCTTCGGGATGGCAGTGCAGCTCCCAGGGCTCGCTAAAGGACTAGCTCAGGCAATAATACAGATGAACCTTGAAATCATTACATTAAGTGAAAGAAGCCACACGTAAAAGGTCACTATTTTAAGATCCTGTGAAGATGAAATGTTCAGAAGAAGCCAAAGAGTGTAGATTAGTAGATTAGCCTAGGGCTGAGGATGGGAGCTCTGGTGGTCCAGTGGTAAGAAGCTGCACTGCAATCCCAAAGGCATATGGTTTGAATTCAACAGCTGCTCCATAGAAAAAGCATGGGCAATCTCCTCCTGAGCGATTTCCTGCCTCTGAAACCCTGCTGGGGAGGTCAGCTACAAATTGGGCAAGTCAGATGAAATAAAACAACAGGGCTGAGGAAGGGAGTGAAGAGGGGGGCATGAAGTGATTGCCAAAAGGGAAAGTTTCTTTTAGGTTGAAACAAAAATGTCCTAAAATTAATTAGATTGTGATTATGATTATATGACCCTCCAGATACAGTGAAATACACTGCATTGCAAACATAAATGGATGAAATGTGTGGACGTGAATTATATCTCAATAAAGTTGTTTGGCTCAATAATAACACGGCTATCCTAATCAATGCTAACTATGCCAGGTAAAGTTCTGAGCACTTTTAATACGGACTCTTGCAATCCTCACAGGGACCCCAGGGGATCACTTTGCAAATGAGCAAAGTGAGGCAGAGTGGTTAAGGAACTTGCCCACAGCTCACAGCCGAGTGTCAAAGAAGCTAGGCATCAAAGCCAGCAGTCTGACGCCAGAGTTGAGCTCTGAATCTCTACACTGTCTGTCTCTCATGAGGCCACTGCCTTGGTTTTCTCCTCTTCAAGTTAAGAGGTTCACTCAGTAAAGCAAGAACAACACATGCTCTGCACGCAGACGTTAGGCAAGGATGACAAGTCTCCACAGTCTTTGCCAGTGACTTACTGCACCCACACCATCTCCCCCACATTCACGTCCACCCCACACCCCACTCTTAACTTCAAATTCCATAAATACCTGAAACAGATAGAGTTTCTCTGCCAGACTTTTGGCCAAGTACACGTCAATCTAGGAAGTAAGAAAAGAAGATTTAACCAGGATACAAAATACGACAGCTCAACATACCCCAAGCATGCACTCAAATTTCAGGTAAGGGGTTGTGAGTGGTCAGAGAGGAAGATTAGGGGAGTGGGAACACCAGCTCAAAGGAACAGAGTTGCTAATCTGGACGCTTCTATAGTCAAGTCCAAGACTCATTCCCTACCACTCCCAGGGCATCAGAACGAGCATGGGCCTGGCCCGTAAACCCAGGTTCACCACAGCCCAATAGAAACACATCCTCTCAGCTGCCTAGCTCAGGAAGCTCCTGAGTGGCCAATTAGATGGTTTGCTAGGAGGAAGATGTTGTCAGGCTCCAATGGGAAGTTCCAACTCAGAGTGACCCTATGTGCAACACAACACAGTCCTGCGCCATCCTCACCACCAGTGGCAATCTGAGCCCACTGCTGCAGCCACTACGCGGGTCCATCTTGTTCAGGGCCGGCCTCATTTTCACTGATCCTCTAAATTATCAAGCACAGTGTCATTCTCCAGGGACTGGGCTCTCCTATACCCAAAGCATGTGAGACAAAGTCTCACCATCCTCACTTTTACAGTGACTGTGTCAGGTTCCAGCGATTACAGTGATAAACAGACAAAACCCCTGCTCTCAGGCAGCTTACATTCTAGTGGAAGGATATGGTCACAAGCAATCAACTTATGTCTAGGAGATGATCAGTGCTATGGCCAAATACAAGGGGTCCTTGGGGAAGGGGTATAAGAGGAGAATGTCACATGAGGAAGGGTGGTCAGGGAGAGCCTGATAGATACAATGTTTGATCAGAGACCAGAAGGAGTGAGGGTCAGCATGCAGCTATTGGGGCGGGGATCCAATAGAGAGCACAGCAGGAGTGGAAGGCCCCTTGAAGGTCAAGAGAACCCAGGATGGCCTGAAGAGGCTAGAAGGGACCCAACCCTGCTGCTTGCCGACCTGGGCCACGCACTTCTTCCTGTCACCCTAGGAAGAGGCTGGAAACCAGTAAATTACCTCCTGTACGACTGGGTCATCCTCTTCATTGGCCATACTAGGAGTGAGCTAGCCGTGTGCTTCTTGGACTCAATCTGCAAGAAAGGAGATTAGACCACTGGTCAGTCATCCAACCTGCTTTGCAACAGGTCTGTGCTGGAGTGAGGAGCCCAAGACAAACAGAAACGGAACTTTTCACATCTGTTATGGAATCAATTACCTTATCAGTTGAGAGAGAGAACTAATAAGTAATGCTTACATATGAACAGACAATTCAACCCCCAGCAGCTGTCCTGTGAAGAAAAGATTAGTTTTAAAGGCTTCTTGATTACTCACATAGAACTCAGCAGAGGGATAATGACTGGCTTGTCCAGGGCCATGATTGAAACCTTCAAGAGCTAATACAGAGCCATGCAAAAGCTTTAAAAACTCACACAACAAACAGGAAGGACAAATCATTCAAGGGCTCTCTGGTGGCCTACGTTATGCAGATGACACAATCTTGCTTGCAAAACTTAGGAGGACCACAAGCATTTGCTGCAGAAGGTCAAGGATTATAGTCTTCAATATGGATTAAAGCTCAACATCAAGAAGACAAAGAATCTCACCACTGGGTCAACTGGCAGCACCATGATAGACAGAGAAGTGATTGAGGTTGTTAATAATTACAGCTTGCTCAGCTCCATAATCAAACTCTTGGCACCAGCAATCAGGAAATCAAAAGATGAGTTGCACTGGGAAAATCTGCTGTCAGGGAGTTCTCCAGAATACTGAAAAGCAACGATGTCAGTCTAGAGACTAAGGTGTGCCTAATCCAGGCCATGGTCTCCGCAATTACTTGCTATGCATCAGAGAACTGGACAATGACTAAGGATGACAGGAGAATTGATGTCTTTGAGTTGTGGTGCTGGAGGAGTCTTGAACATACCATGGATCTACAAGAAAATAAATAGGTCTGTCTTGAAGAGGGCGAAACCAAGCCTCTCCTCGAAGGCTAGAATTTTGAAGCTCCATCTCATATACTTTGGGCATGTGGCCAGAAAGGACTGATCCTTGAAGAAGGGCATCATGCTCGGAGCGGTAGAAGGACAGCATAGGAGAGGAAGACCCCAGATGAGAGAGACTGATACAGTGACTGGGGCAATGGGGGTTGGTGTGTCGGAGTCAATGAAACTGATTCAGGACAGGGCAAGCCTCAGAGCTGCTGTAGAGGGTCGCTATGAGTTGCAGGCGACTTGATGACACATAATACTAGCAACTGGTGGCCTAGTGGGTAAGGAACTGCACTGTCAACCCAAAGCAGGTGGTTCAAATTCACCAGATTCTGTGCAAGTGAAAGATGAGCATTTCTCCTGTGCTATCTACAGCCTCTGAAAACCCACCGGAGAGTCATCTATGAATACGTACCAACTCAGTGGCATGTAACAACAACAATCTCTAATATTTGCTTTTCATGTTGACTTCAGAATCCTACCCTAAGAGAATGGATAGATAAAATGTGATATATTCATGGAATGGATTATTATTATTCAGCTCCTGTGGTAATTTTTGTCAAAAAAAATTACCTTCTTCATGTATTTTTCTCTCAGTATTCAACATAACCACCTCACAAGGTAGCAGGATTGTCCCATTTTATAAGGAAATGAGTCTGGAAACTCCATGTGTCTTTACCAAGAGGAAGATCATCTGCATTTCAATCCCAGGCCATTAGAGGGACAGAGGAGTTCAGGGGAGGAAAGGAAAGACCTTGCAGGGAGATGGGGTTGTGGTGGCATGAGGGCAGCATTTGGGCCAGATCCTGAAGGACAGAAGGCTTTAGACAGCAGAGGGGAAGGACTTCAGGTGACAGGAAGCCGTCAGCAAGTCCTGGCAGGAGTGCTGCACTGACTTAGTCAATGTGGCTCTTCTAAGTCACTGTCCTTGCTACTTTCACCACTGGGCTATGTTAGGACTATACTATGCAAATAGAGATGTGTGCTGCCCACCAATGGGATCAGACCAACTGCTAATAATGTAAATTGCACCTCTCGGTGAGATCATGCACTAACTAACATGAGATTACCCAGTTCTGCCATTCTATCAGGCTAAAATTGAGAAAAATGGGTCTTTCACTGCCGTCAAGAAGGAAGAACGAAAGTGCAGCACATCCTTTGGATCTAAGATGCAGTAGGAACCTGAAATGGAAACCTGTAACACTGGGGAGAAGTGGCAATGGAGACTGAAAACTGGAGAGCAGTGTGAGACCAAGCTGCAGGCTCCCATTCCAAAAAATGTGAAAAGATGGATGCCTGCTGAGCGCGGCAATTCTGGACCTAGGCTTCCTGGCCGAGTGGGAGTGTACATGCTTGGCAGAGAGAAGAAATCATCGCTGATCCTGCCTGAGCCAGGCAGAGGCCAGGCTTTGAGGCCAACAGTCAGGGAGAGAAGGCAGCCTTTCTGCACAGCTAAGATGTTATCCCAACCGAAAAGCTATCTCCTATGTGGTCCTGAATCTGTGTGGTCCTGAAATAAGTAACCTGTTGTCTCCTTAACAAATCCAATAATTGTGTGAGTTCTGTGTGGCAATCCCACAGAATTATCAAACCTGGTAAAGAAATGGGAGTTCCTGTAGTGTAGTCCACAGGCAGCTAGACACCAAATCCTAACACGGCAGCTCTCAAGAGTTTGAATCCACCCAGCAGGTCATCAGGAGAAAGGTGGGTGATCTCTGGTGTGATTTACAACCCTGCACCCAATGGAGGGTCAGCTCTGAGTCAGTTCCAAATGGACAGCAATGAGTGAGTGGTTGAGTAAAGAGGGACCTTGAGAGGGACAGTTAAGAGTAAGAACTGACAGGAGGTCAGTGGGGAGGAGAACATGGGGAGGAGAAAGGGAGCATACCTGACCTCATAGGAATCAGCTTTATGCTGCTATTGCTGGAGATCTGCCCTCCCTTGTGAAGCTAATGGAGGTTGGATGTCACTGCATCTAGGACGGAGGGAGGATATCACTGCCTCTAGGATGGAGGACGGATGTCACTGCCTCTAGGATGGAGGATGGATGTCTCTGCCTCTAGGATGGAGGACAGACATCACTGCCTCTAGGATGGAGGATGGATGTCTCTGCCTCTAGGACAGAGGGAGGATGTCGCTGCCTCTAGGACGGAGGGAGGATGTCGCTGCCTCTAGGATGGAGGACGGACGTCACTGCCTCTAGGATGGAGGACGGATGTTGCTGCCTCTAGGATGGAGGATGGACGTCACTGCCTCTAGGATGGAGGACGGATGTCCCTGCCTCTAGGATGGAGGACGGATGTCCCTGCCTCTAGGATGGAGGACGGATGTCACTGCCTCTAGGATGGAGGGAGGATGTTGCTGCCTCTAGAACTGCTATACCGTTTTCACAGAAGGCCTCCACCGCAAGGGGGGTAATTCAGTGGGGCAGAAGGTTAGTATAATCAAATGGGTTTCTCTTATACATAACTTTTCTGGCCTTGGAGTGATAATTCTGCCCAAAACAGTCAGCCGGGCCACAATATGCAAAGGGCTACCACAGAAGTAAGAGGTATGCAACCACTTTAGGATAAAGTGACTTTACAGGGAACTGGTTCCATGGTCTATCTGGAGACTGTCATGCCTTCAAATTGATAAGAAGCTTAGTTATAAGTAGAAACTTGACAGAGGTTAGGGAGAGGCTCAGAAAGAGAGGAGACACCTCCTAAATAAAAGAGGGCAGCACAGGTTAAGCGCTTAATTCTGGAGACGGAAACCATGACAATGACAGCTTTAGGGACATGTGTCCACATGCCAAGTTCAGGCACAAGGCATATACACTTGTCAGGAGAAGCACTCTTATGCTTGCCTAGGCAGGCCCTACACTAGCCTGGCACAGCCCAGCAGCAGCAGGGGCAGAATCCAGCACCAGTGGGCCTCAGGCAATGTGATGCTTGCTGGAGGCAAGGGCTGACTAGCAGCACAGAGGAACTGAGAGAGCTGTCCTGGTTGGAAGATGTCCTGATGGACAAAATGCATCCTGTCTCCTGAGTTGTATCCTGTTACTTCCAAGTTGATCTCTTTACTTCCTAATAAGCCATGAAATTGTAACTACATTGTGTGTGCTCTTTGAAAGGTTCAGAAGATTCCTGGACCCAGCAGAAAGAAAGAGGACGAAAGGGATGAAGGGGGGGGGGGTGTTGATGGTATTAAAAGATAGGAGAGTGGTGCAACAGCTTGGAGAAGATAGAAGCCTGAGCTGGGACATCTTTAACCTCATCTTCTCAGCTCACTAAACTCACTGCTATCAAGTCAAATCCAACTCATGGTTGACCCCTCAGCAGGTTTTCAGAGGCAGTGAATCACACAATCGCATGACAAATGACTGTCCATCTTTCTCCCACGGAGCAACAAGTGAATTCAAACTGTCTGTCTTTGGATAAGAGACATAATTCTCTACTGCCTAGGCCACCAGAGTTCCCTAAACTCACTGCTGTGGAGTTGGAATTGACTCCCAGCTCACTTTTCTGGGTTTTCAGAGGCTGTACATCAAATACACAAGAGGATATTATCACTCTTTCTCCTGAGGAGCAACTGGTGGATTTGAACTGTCTGCCTCTGATTTGGAGGTCCAATTTCCTACTGACTAAGACACTGTTGTTGTTATGTGCTGTCGAGTCACTTATGACTCACAGCAACCCTATGTACAGCAGCTCTGAACCCTGCCTGACACACTACCCCCAATCTATCACGATGCTGCCAATCAGCCCAGTGGTGAGAATCGTTATTTTCTTGATGTTATGCTTCAATCAGTGAAGGGCACAGTGCTTGACCTTTTGCAGCAAATGCCTCAGGCTTTCCTTAGTTTAGGCAAGCAAGGTCATGTCATATGCATAACACAGATTGTTGATGAGTCTTTCTCCAATCCTGATGCCAACAGTACTCCTCATAGAGCCTAGCCTCCCTGATGATCTGTTCTGCACACAGACAGAAAAGGTATGGAGATAGAATGCATTCCTGGCATACACCTTTCCTGATTTTGAAGCACGCAGTGTTTCCTTGTTCTGTTCTGACAACTGTCTCCTGGTCCAA